ATCGCTGACGCCATCCGAAACCAGCCACGCTTCTGAGGCATCGGTTGGTCGAAAACCTGAAGACGCCTCACATCATCTACCCGAAGAGGCCATGTCTCGCACCCATACAACAACACAGCCCTTACTGTAGCCTGGTACACACGACCCTTAAGATCCAGTGAGATGCCTTTTTGACGCCACAAGTGACGCAAATTAGCAAACGTGATTCGAGCCTTTGAGATTCTTGCACTGACTTCATCAGACACACTTCCGTCAGTAAATTCGCACCATAACGTAGCCACTTAGACGATTCATTTCCCCCACTCCCTCAAAAAAAAACGACATCGTTGTCACACGTTTTGCCAGAATTATGTCGCTGCAGACCCAGTGCATTCGATTACAGTCAGAATTTGGTTCAGTAAATCTTCACATGGAACTGTTTTGACTGTGGTAGATATTGGTGTATTGTTAGGGAGATAAGAACATAGTGTGAGGACATCAAGCAGTCAGATTGTAACTGCTTCAGCTAATCGTTGAAGTTCTACAACGGAGAACTGTGAGGCGATATCGGAAACCAGGTTCACTTTAGTGAATTCTGCCCAGATGGCTGAATTACCCGCAATCCATTGGCTTGGCACCCCTAAGTATACCCGTAGATAAGCGTGGGCGTATGACCAGTCATGCACAAATCTCAAGAGTTGTCCACTATCATTATCAATTCCCACCATTTTTAACTTCGGTTGTTTCTCTAAGTCACCTGCTGTCGTCAATTAGTTGTGTTTATGTGGAAGGCGAGTTACTCTGACTTTCGAATTATGATGTGGTTTTGATTGCTTACAATGGAGCTGCTTTATAAGGGACGTAAATTATAGAACAGAAGAAATGTTTGCACTTCCTGCTGCCCTACATCTGTATCATTCGTCCACCTAGGTCAAAGCGGTTTGTCATTCCATGGTATAGTACATATGACATGTTGCAGCCATCCGGCAATTTATGATCATTCAGTGGAAAACCAGCTAGATTTCACTCAGGCGAATAGAAGAAACAAATCGCTCAGGACGACTTTAACCCTTCCGGTATTCGGAAAAACCCGAGTTCCGAACATCTACATTAAAGATCCTTTGGGAACCTGATAGAATAAAGTTTCAAACGAGGGAACGAGAACATAATTACTGCGGATAAGATGATCAGTTATCTCATATTTTTCGGGTGGGTTTTTACTTCTGAAATGCGTAAATTTACGCTACAGATCTTCCCCAATAGATATACCACCAGTAAATGAAGGTGCTTGATTACATTATTAACCAAAAAATTTCGAAACCTTCCCTGGACAAAAAAGGCATTTGCAGGTAACTTGAGTTTGCCATTTCTTTGGAAGGACACAAAATAATCAGGCTTCTGGTATGTGTAGACAACAACGTTTGTTTGGTGTTGACACAATAAATGGGTGAATATGGACACAGGACTGCAGTAAAACACAAAACGAATGCTCAGTTATCGAAGAAACATGTTCTCTCCTAGCGAACCAGGCCGCTTTCAGCGTTCCTCACTTGTGGTCTTTATACAGTTGAGTGGTCGCATGTGTAAAACTCTCCAACACCTTATCCCTTAGCTGTCCATGGTTTGCAGTAAGTCTAAAAATGTGATTGTTCAAAGCAGTAAGGCAATAGGAATCTGCGTCGGCATGTTGACAATCCAGTTGCGTTAAATGAATCTTGGATTGGGTTACTGGAGGGGGTCTCAGTTGCTTATTCAGGAATTATTTCGTTTTGTTTTTGTTTCGTTGGATCTTCACGAAGAGACTGGACCTCACCGTGGTGTGACGGTTTGCGCACCTCAGCGATCCATTGAGCTATACTGGAGAGTGTCCCGCGACACTCACAGAGTCTCTCACACCAGGCTGGTCAATGGTTAGAGGTTTGACGAACACAGTCTCCTGGCCCTCCAGGTTGGGGGTTGGAACATGTGGCGACTTGTTCCGTAGAAATGGTAATGCATTTGCATTTCCCGCCAAACACCAATGCCTTGCGGTTAGGCTTTTGAGCCAAAGGCTTTGGTTGAGGACCTTAATCGTCCTCTTGTTTAGGTGTGGGCGCCCTGGCAGTATCCCAGCACACGTACAACCATGAATTGCACATACACATAAACTCATGCCACATCGGCCGTCACGTGGTGCCATCAGTTAGAAAGCGCGTTTTCGGTTGTGTAACGGGTACTTCCATTGAAGAATGTGTCCAGCACCAGAAGCTGCGTTGGTTGGGACATGTGTTACGTATGCCGAACCATCGTTTCCCGAAGAGAGTACTGTTTTCCATGCCCAATTCGGAGTGGCGTAAACAGAGAGGTGGCCAACCCTTGACTTGGCAGAGGAGTATGAAGGAGATCACGAAACGCTTGGGTGCTGTCGGTGCTACTCGCCTTCCAGGATGGGGACCGCGTGATCCTCACTGTGCCTGGTTGGAGACACTACAAGATATGGCTGCCAACCGATGTCAGTGGCGTTCTTGTTGTCAGTTTCTATCCAGATTGCCTGAGTGAATGTCTGGAGGTGTAGGCACCTCGGAATGATTGTGTTAAGCTAGCACTAAGTCCCTCCCCCATCCACCTTTATTCTTTTCTTTACAATAAGGTTTTCAAATAAGTCATGGTTGTACGGCAGAGAAGCATCGGTGTTGAACACTGATGTCATGCTGTCGATGGTGGTGATGATGATGTTTCGTTGGATAATAGTTTAGATACGGAAGAGTGGCTTGGTGATTGACAGATGAATTGACGAAAGTAGATCATTCGAATGGTATGGAGGTGGTGTGAGTAATATCCAGTGAACGAAGAGTTGCAGTGGGAATGTTATTTCCCGGCCCAGCTTGAGGAAGGGAGTTTTTTTGCGACGTCCCACCTCGATCGTTTGATGTGAAGGTTTGACCCACAGGGTGATGTAAGGAAGTATATTTTAGTTCCGATACTCTGATCATAGTCTTTGACTCAAGCGTCTTATGCATTAAGCGAGTTATAGTGTTTTCTTGAGACCCTGTTCGGAGCCAGTTACTCAATATTCTGACCCGCTTGCTTAGGAGGATTATGCTGACCCGATGGCGCAGGGATTAAGATATAAATGTTCCACTGCTGCTCATTTCAGATGCGTCTGAGCCACTTGGAACTTTCGGTAGACTTCAGTTATAATTCAACCAAGTTAGATAAGTTACCACACATCACCGTCATCTCTTTGTCGATCGGGATGTGCGGTTTTTAGGGATGACCTTTTCTGACCGATTCTACCTCGAAGTGGGATAGACATGCCTATCACCTTGGGATTACTTTACTATCTTCAGACTCCCGTCGAGGAGGAAAGTATCACTCTTCTTCCGGACCCCTTTGTATCAAGGTTATGCGTTGTGCAGTGATTGGTGCCTTTCCTCTAACTCCTCTTCTATGGCTTCCCATGCGTGAATGTACCCTGTAGAACGATGTTTCAGCTGGTCTATCCCGGGGTCATTGCAGCACTCAAGCCCGACCACCACTTCAAGGTGTCAGTCTTCGGTCGGGAGGCGTGGTGTAATATTTGGACAAAACTGACGCACGGCCCACCGAAAGCTTGTGACTATCAAAAGCTGAAAGTGGATATGCCTAAATCTCCATGGCCTTTGTACTACACGTTGTTCCTCAAAGCGAGAATTGGCAGGAATAAAATTTAGTACCCATACTTTTGCTGTGGATTTTTCGCATACTTGTTCCATTTCCCCTGAACTACTTGCCAGTCTGGCTTTTCGTTACTACAACTTAAGCATATAAATATCCACAGCTTTTCAGTGTCATGTCACCACTGATTGCATGCATTTAACGCCAAAACTTTGAGTGCAACAGCACCCAAAACTTAGTCCTACCCTACCAAAGGTCAGCGTCACGACACGAAGCGAGAAGTTCGGTTCTTTAAGTTCAACATGAGTAAAACGTAGAGAAGTATTAGTGTGACCCGCAAACATACCTGTGCTGGTTAGGTTATTTTCCTAGTCTCGTACTTAATGGGCACTTAGGAACCGGATGATATGGTGATGCAACAACGTCGGGGAGGTAGCAAACTAGTTTTGGCACAAGGTTGTCTGTTCTAATCTTCATTTGACGGCCACAAAATCCCACTTGCTTTACTTCAAACAAAAAAGTCATTCATTTTGCCATCATCATCACCCAGGTCGTTGCCAACCACCTTGTCACTGTTTTGTCGCCTTGAATCGGCTGCTTAGTAATCTGTATTTTGACAATGTACGGTGTAGCTCACACCTATTTGGATTATATTAAGCTGTTCATACTACCTACCTACTTCCTTGGAACCCCAAAATATAGGGCCTTAGCTTTGTAACTTATCGACTTGTGTTGCTAGACGTGTTGTTATCCACGAAGACACTCCACTCTGACGTATTCTGACGGAGTGCTCTTTACTAACCGTTGTCGAATCAAAGTGTGTATGCATTTGATTCACTCGTTTCTGACCCATATTTGGGTGATTTTTTGGCCCCAAAAGTTCTTCTGAACTTACATGGTTCACTAACCCGGTCCACATGTAGCCCAGTTGCTCGTTTGTAGTCATTTTTTCCATCTCTACGAATTATCGTGTAGTAGCAAACCTGGGACGCCGTATCTCTTGACTTTCAAGCCTATGAGGGTTGACACGATATATTTCCGTGAGTGAATCGTACCAAACCTACTCTAAAGTACAGTTTAAGACCAAGTTTCCACACCATATCACCAGCTACATCGTAACCCTCAACAAGACCATTGGCCGTAGGCGGTTTAGTGTCTGGTTTGGTCTTCTCATTTCGTCGTGGGTCTATGTTATGAATTTCGCTCTTCATGCTTGGATCATGCGCGGGCATCTATACTAGCTGGGTTCATTCCACACGCGAAGGCATCGCATCATTCCTCCGCCCGCCATAACGGTACAAGCTCGCAGACGTTGCAGCTTCAAATAACTTTCAGTACGCTCACACTTTTGGTTGCCCTTAGACTTGGCTCTGGTGGGTTCTGGTGGGTTTTCACCCACCATCTTGGCATTAGTATACTTACAACAGTCCGTTGTGTTCTTCGGTGTATGAAGCCCTTCGGGGGGGGAAGGGGGGGCTAGAGCAAAAAATTTCGCACAACTACGTTCGTTCCCTTCGGAGAACGGTTCCAGGGCTATCTTTAGTTAGTGATTCATAATTATATTTTATGGTCTGGCCTACTGTGGACGGCTCCTGGTACATTCCGGATGCTTGGTTCGAACTCTGTACACGCTACCAACATACATCTACAACTTATGGAGCTTGGTCGTCCGTTAACCCCGTTGTTGGGATGAAAGTGCTATTTCTCACTTCTGGTCACGTCAAGTAAACAAGTGCAACCTTCCAAGTCAACCGAAATATTAGGCAATCTGGGCCGACCTTGCTTCGAATATGGCGGAGGTGTCTGGGTGTTAGGTGGAGCGAAGCTGGAGACTCTATGAATAAAAAAGGTTGCAAGCGATGATCTTACGGTCTCGACGTTCCGGCCGCTTCAGACAACCCATGTCAAGTACTTTTACGACCAGATGAATACACACAATCTGTGTACTTGTCTACAGACAGACGAATGGTGTCCCTGCAGTATCCTCAACATCATCCATAGTTGCCAACCTTTTCTTATGCCTTGCACGAACTTACCCACCCTATGCGCGTGCGGCTGACTTATGTCGATTGCCTTATCTATGCAGTTCAACCCAAAAGAAGCCTTTTTACCTACCTCAATGAATATCCTAGTAGCGGTGAGTTTCCGAGGAACATTTGATGTGACCATGGCGTTTCCCGCTTCTTAGTTTGCAGCCTGTTTTCAGTTAAAGTTATGTATTTGCTGTGGACACCCATCGAAAGCCCACACACGGGGAGATCCGGAATATGATTTTTAACCCTAGCACTACACGAAACCTGCTTTTGTTGCTTCCCTAGTGGATTATCCTTCAATGACTTCGAAAGACCCGTCAGGTTAGGCAAAGTACTGTCACGCGTCGGACAATAGATAATCGGAATAACCCGAGAACCAAGACAGGAGAATAATGGATATATATCTTGGAGCCATATGTATACCTTAAAGACTTGGTATTTCTAAAGACACCTGGAAGATTTAAAAATCCTATGAGACATGTATTGCCCGAGCCATAGCAACATGAACGGGTAGGAGATCCACAACCCCTCACAAATTGTATTTACGAAATTCGTTGCGCAGATTACCCACATTAACGCAACATGCACAGCCAGAAAACTGGTTGCTAGAACAGGTGAACACAAACGTCACGTGGATTTGCCTTCGGTCCCAGTGCACCTGAGCAGAATCATCAGGTTGATTTTGTTGATGCCCACGTATTCTAACCCGGCTTCAGTTCATATCCGCAACATTTGTGTGCTGAGACGTCAGAAACAGACGTAATTCAACCTCAGTGATATGACCAATGTTCCCTTCATTTGGATTGGACGGACCACATAAATGATTAAGCATGGTTGCCGGGCCCGATGCCGGGATCTGGACAACCATTCATAGATGATCTCCGAGGTCAGTTGCCACCCCTACATCCGCCAACCGATATTCTCAGTCCATCATCTACTGCGCAGCCACGCCCACACACACATGAACACACTTGCGCACTCAGGTTAGATATCAGAACTAAGGCTATGTTTAACTAGGTCACGATACGGACTGTTGTGTGTTCTTGTTTACGCGTTCCTGCAACAACTCTTGATAAGGGTGGCCCACGGTAGCCGAGATGTTGGGACTATAAAATCACACTGTATGTGACCTCTATATTGTGTTTGGTTTTAGGATGGCTGTGGTCATCAGAATTTATTGTCATCCTGTCACCCATACATGTACTTTTGACTTGGGTGCCCCAAATAGAATTTTCTCGGGACCGCCGACTGCTAGGCCTGCTGAGACTGAAGTCATTCTGTCAATTGATTTTGTGCGTTTTTTCTTCCTCTCTGAGTTAGTTGGCGTACAATGATCGCATGTTATTGCAGACTATCCTGGATAAGAGTTTTACTGCCCAGTATCATGTGGCATTAACTGTTTTCCATCGTGAAAGGCCTTGATATACCCTCAGTAGCTACACAGCATTTCATTCCCGCAACTGTCAATAGATCTCTTAAGGGGGCGCAGTTCCTCTTGATAGTTCTCCCTGCAGAATATTCTGAATATCATGTTGCATCGTGCATACGCGAAAAACATCTATTGATACAAGACAACTCCTTCACTGCACTTTTCTCCTGCCTTCTCTTAAGTGGCAAAGCAGTTACCGTTCGTGATTCCTCTGTGCTTTTCTTTTTTCTTAGGAATTCTTAGTGTCGCTCACATTCAAATTTTCTATTTACTCTAAGCTAACCATTCAGATGATGTATGTTGAGTCCATCTTACCGGACTCCCAGTCTCCGCAAAATACCCGGGTCTTTTCACTCGGTACCATGACTTTATTTCAATTAGTTATTCTATCAGCAAAGCCTGCGTGACTATTCCAATACTCTGACGTGAACATATGGACTTGACTGTTACGCGTCATTAACTTTCCGTCCATTGTTTAATTTTGAATACTGAGGTTCTTCTGCTTCGTTCTTCACTGTTGATTCTTACAATTCACTCTGTCTTATTTAGGAGAAAGCACTTCTCCCAATGTTTGACATCGCCTATCAGGGATTCGCAAGTGGAGATTTGAATAATGACGCCTGGGCAGTGCGCTACTTTGCATCCCTGGGCATGGAATTATTTGCCGCGCAGTCTTTCTCCAAAAACTTTGGATTGTACAGTGAGTCTGTGTTTTCGTCACGTAATTTATGGCTTGTCAGCTTTGAATTTTAATTAGTTGACATCCGCAAACGACCTTGCGTGACGCTGTTCCTTCAAATAGTTTCTTTGCTGTTTAATCATTTTATTGATCCTTCCTACAATAGTATATCGTTTTAGGCCAGCTAAGTGTGAGGATAAATATTCATATATTTATCAAAATGATGAAACTGCAAAGCAGTGATCGTTTATGAGGATTTTCTCCTGGTTGCAAATATAGTGATTCCACTTCAAAGGAGACCGTCTGTTTCCGACTCCGTTCCCCTTCGTGAAGGGAATTTCGCACCATATAACTCTGAACCGAAGATAGGCGAATAGTACATATTTACTCTATCTGAGACGCTCAGATATGTACGTTATCTTCTAATTGATGGTACCAAGTCAACCGTCCGGTTTAGCCGGACGAATAAACATCCCAAGGCTTTCGGGCTACTTTGATGATCATGCGGCAGCAATTGCAGTGAAGCGAATGCCGTTGTCTGACTGGTGGCTCGCGCGAAACTAATCTCAATGTCCGATGCACTGTATTCCAATCAGAAACGTGACCGCTGCATGCGGATGTTGGAAGACTGTGTGTTTGACCAGTGGTGCCTTCAAATCATTTCGTAGGTCTGGTGGGAACATCACCTCAGTAGTGCTGAAGTACGCTAGATTATTTCCAGGACAGGTCACTCTCAGTAGACGGGCCGGTCACACTTCACAGGTTACGCCCATTAGGCCATGTACTTCGAATGCCAGAGTGACTGAGATAGCTCAGTGGCTAAGGCACGAACCTGGTGACCGGAAGGTCCGTGGTTCGAACCCAACATATACATATCGATCGTTCCTGTCTAGGCTTGGGTAACCTGACAGTATCTCAGCCCTTGTGCTTCTTTTGGGTGACATCGCGGCTAGACACCGGAATGGTGTTATAGCTGAACGATTTGTATTGTTATTATCATTATTATTATTACTAATATCGTGCTAGAGGTTCGCCTGCCTTGCAGAGCCATCTTAGACAAACCATGCACCGGGCTGAGACGACCCAGAGACGGTTCATCTATGACTCGGTAAAGGAGCATGAAAGCCCTTACAAGTCAACGCAGTCGCATTACTGACGGCCATCTCCCCAAACGGGAACCTCGAGGCGCGACAAGCCAATGCTCAACCCCGATAAATATGGCTGCCCCGCAGTCAGTGGTGGCCCTTCACCAAAGCCATGGTCTTCACTGCGTAGCCCCCCAACTCCCGTTTATATTTAACGAACTGATAAGGCCATCGCCCCGAACGTGTGGCTCCCACTCCCTTATTTTTCTTGTGCTCAGTGAACGCAACTGCAGCAGCTGAAACCGGTTCCACTTCAGTACACGATCGATGGCTGAAAAATTGAACTGAATTAATAGTCTAAAGTTGAACGAACTGGAACTATTGGTTCCTGTTGACAGGTTAACTTCTTAAAACATGTCTGCATTAGTAACGAAACCAATCGGAGAACAACACAAGCCAAGTTGTTTAATGTTTTTTTCCACAAAGGTTAGAATCGAACATCTGTTCCCTAATCTCAACATTAGCATCAATGCAGTCGATGTTTTTATCGTTTGTATTCGTCAGTTCAGAGATAATGCACACATTAACTTAGAATCGATATTGGTTTGCCGTTCGAGGCAAACTCTGGACTTATGGTAATGCTAAAACCATCGATTCGTGTCATAGCATTTAGCCAGACCCGGGGGTACTTTTGCGAACAACTGTTCATTTCATCCCACCTGGCGGAAAGTGTTCAGATGTGTAAACATTTTGTGGGCGCGCATAAACAAGTTTCTTCGCATACACTCAGTTACATATCAATTCGATTTTCACGGGAGACTCAACTGAATCTCTCGTTTATGATATTCTTCAACTGAATTTTTTTCCAAATATCTGTCCATTCGCTCAAACTTAGCTCGAATGTTCCTTATTTGGGTTCTCAGTTTCAGTTCTGAGTGAATCCCCCAAAGGCTGAATGGGGGCTTCGAGTTCTTTTAAGGAATTAGGTCGTTCGTTGGGTATGCAGATTGTATGCAGACCTGACGGTCCGGGGAGGAAGAAGTTAGTCAAATGTAGGGTCAGAACATAGGTGAAAGGGAGGAGGTTGTATTAGTCAGATGATATATCACAGAAAGCGTGATCAAAAGCGACAGAGGCAATGAATTTTTCAGAATCCAAAGGATATTTGTACAAAACCAACGAGAATCCCAGTCATTTAAGTAGAGTTAACTGTAATTTTGATTTACTGTGCATTCCATTTTCACGTTTTTCAAATAAACAATTCCATCTGAACAAGGTCTCGTTTAAACACGTAGTGCAGTTGCAGATGGTGATTATTCACTGGTCCCTATTTTGGTTTTGTTCTTACTAATGTGTGTTCACTCGCTGTTTTTCGGCCTCATCGGGTAATCAGAGATCGATTTTTCGCTAGTTGCTCCTTGTCCACAACTAGTACATAGAATGTGTACTGAGTGTGTTTTTGCTTTCGGACAGCGGACTTGCCAGTTCTTCTCTCATTCCACATAGCTTCAGAAACGTCAAGAGTGAGACAACAGTGAGACAATGTAATAAAATAAATTTTTCACTGGATAACTTGGCACACACCTGGTACACCCTAGTTTCAGTTTGACTTTCCCACGTGTACACTCTCCTGAAGCGGTGTGGAAGACAATGAGAAACCTTCTTATGTAAGCCTAAAACAGGCCGCCCGATTTTTTCGCTCTTTGGTCCATCGCCTAGAACAAACATGCTGCGTGGCTCAACCGTAAAAAAAGTTAAAGCCTTAGCTTCCCCCTGTAACAACGAAAATTACGGTCTCTACCTTGTTCACACGTACCCGGGTTAGGTCAGCTGCTTCGTCAAGCACAAGTAGAGCACACCAATCCATCACTGATGCACTCCTGGCCTTGAATGAATTTTAATATGGGATCAGGATGAGTGGAGTTAATGCACATCATCATGTGTATCGGTTTTAGGGTTGTAGTCAAGGCAAGGGACAACAAAGCTATAGGCATAAGTTCGTGGGCGGAGGTGCCCATATGATTGTGTGTGTACTTTAAACCCGGAAATAAGACGGCAACTACGCCGAAGTGACCTGTTTTTATGCTTTTTTCGAGGCGAGGCTTCATACGCGCCCAGCTGTAGGTGATGCCGCAAATCACTGCCGTTTAAAACGAACGGCATTGCTGTATGTTTGGGCTAGGCACTAGCTGTGGACTGACCGCTACATCCTTTGTTGTCAGAGGACTAATGGGCGCGCATTAGTTTGCCTATAAACAAGGTATTTTATCTCCGAAAGGGATGTATAGAAGTTGTCGAGGTGGGGATTGGCAGTCGAGTTGGGATTCTTTACTTGCAGAGCCAGACCTACATACCTTGCCTTACGGGGGCTCATGGCTCTGCTGAGCGGAAATCACTATCCGAGAAGATAGGTCCTCCAAGTGAAAAGTTAGTGCCTCAACCATCGAACAACCCCATCAGTGTATTGCATCACGTCGGTCGTGACAGAACTCTCACTAAATTGTATAAACGCTGTTTAGTGGCCGGTGGGCCCTACTAGGTCTTTCTCTCTCTCTCATTTTTTCTGACAATCCCGCCATGTAGGTATATCTCAGATGGGCCCCATTACGGTATCCTGGTCAAGTCTTTGAATCGACTTCTGGAACCAACGTACAGTGTTCATCTCAAAATTTATCTGTTAGCTTATTGGCATACATATGAAGGCGAATTATAGGTTTTTCTGCGAGGAGTGAGGAATTGAACAAATACCTCTTTATTACACTTTGGTTACATTTTTCACCGAGGGCTCACTGTGGACTGTTTTAAGCCAGGGCTCTTGAGACTTACCAAAGCTGGTTCACTATATATTTCGAACAATCGTTTTAATCTTTACTGTCATGCCAGCTTTCATTTTCCATTTAAAATACCACCTCATAAGCCGATATGCTGCAGAGCTAGTTATGACCGAATGAACCACCAAGTGTGGAAACAAGTTTCTTTTTTTCTCCGAGCGACGGTACGAACTGAGCTCGAGCATCTTGAAACCCTAATCAAACATGTTGTCGAAATCAACCGACGGACACCCATCGCCCCAAATAGTGCCTTTCTCAGATTGTTCGGTTACTCAAACCTGCGTATCCACCCAGACCCCATCCATATTGATACAGGACTTCTCCCCCAATGGAAACACATTCAAAAGTACTAAAATGTCTTATCAACTGAGATGTTGCTTCGTGGGAGAGGAGACTAGTATTAAATATTTCACGCTTTGTATAAGAGTAATAAGACTTCTGCGGTATCCAGGTGTTTTGAACAGTCATGAATGCAATGCGGACTAGTTCGCTCGAGTAAATGTCTTTAAGGCATAATGAGGCCGTACGATGCTCATCATTCTTTATCAACCAGGTCGCTGAAAGTGAGATCTTCTGACTTCTGGCTAAACTCGAATGAGACCTTTTAGAACATCAAGTTTATCATGAAAATCTGGTGGCGAAAGCGACGGTAGTTATTCTTGATTTGACAAATATCTAGTTCTCATGCGTCACTTTTTCCTATTTTTTAACGCTTTTTGACCTTTACTTTACTAAAAAGGACTCACTAACTTTGCGGGATTACGGTACCTATGATGCAGAAACAGATTCACACGCATCTGCACTTCATCACCCGCTTCACAACGAAGGCACAAAAGCAATCTACTTTAGCATAACACCTGTGTGGTTACGAAATACCCAAGAGGATTTCTGATCGACGTCACTCCGATCCATATTTTCATAAGCTTCTCATCCGAACTTTTGCTGAAGTCAAGTGTTACTGAATAAATTATTACCCTTGATGCGTCGGTTAAAGGCATTTTATTTCCACATACAACTATCGCCAAGTCCATGGTACACTCAGCTAATTGGCCACGGTTGTCTACCTCTGGAAATGCCTTAAGAGAAACTACTGTTCTCGACCCCT